GTCAGCAAAGCTGCACTATGATGACACCACAATTTTTCTTACTAAGAGATTCTAATCACAAATATTAAATACAGCCTGTAACTAAAAAGTAAAAAAAAACAAAATAAATGATGAACCTCCCCATCCCGAAATGCAGACAGCATAGAGCCGTAATAAAAACTGGAAGAGTTGGGAAATGTGAAGTTAAAGCTTCTATATTCTGTGGATCACAGAAGCAGTTCACTATAGTACATGCCTGGAAGTTGTCACAGTAATTGCGTAAAACCGCTGCCATGTGTATGCAAAGTACAGCTTAATGCAAACCCCCTCCCCCCCTTTTCTTAATGGAAGGTTGCTATGACTGCGAAAGAGCCTTATTTAAAATCACAGCTAAGCTGATAGTCAATTTAATGTTTAAAAATAGCTATATAGTATAAGAACAAAGTATACAAGATAAGAAACTAAGCACATGTCAATCCTACTGAGTTAAGACATCCTATGAAATTCCAAAAAGCAAACTAAACTGGCAAATATCCAGTTTTTGAAAGCTCATGTGTACAATTTGTTAAATTCCACTGGCATAATCTGGGAGCAGCATTAGCCCACTCATTTGGCCCAGAGATTTAAAAAAAGGTTTTCAATCCTTTTATTATCATTTGATGGACAGAGAGTAATTGGCAAATGCACAACACATATAATTCAGAATAAATTTCTACAATGGCATTTAAAAATGAAAAATATAACACAGATTTCAAATATAAAACTCTCAAATAATGGAATCCAAGATAAAATATCAGCCAATCATCTATTGAAAAGGTTAAATGGCTTAAATGGTTAAACTCCTGGCTGAGAAAAAAAGTGATTACATGATTCTGGGGCACCTGGAAAACACATCATTTCACAATGTGTCTAGAAAGGTATGTGTTTACCAATTGAAGAAAAAGCTGAGAAGCTGCAGAAGATAAATTAAATACTGGAGAGTAATCAATCACTGTGCTAAAATGATAGATGACAACTAAACTGAAGCCCCAGGGAAGTACATACACAGAGCCATTTTGCAAAATTAGGTTGCATAACTAGCACACCTCAGAGCACTACAGAATCTAAATCCATATCAGAGATCTCACATTAAAAAATGCAAAGCTGAGGCTATAATACAAAATCGATAAAAAAAGAAAAATCTGTTTCCGAGGCACAGAAATTTGTAAGCAGATGAGTCACAGCGAATATACTACTCTAAATAGCCTTAACATGATGACAAAAAACAGAGGCAAAAAAATAGTTACACTATGCAAATATTACTTTATACTTTACCAACAAGTTTATACTTCTGTTGCGGGGGGCGGGGGGGGGGAGATAGTGAAACTAATTATGGAAAGACCTCATTAAATAATTCCGGTAGTGTGAACACTCAAGTAAACTATTATATCCAAACCTGCAGTATGCGCACATGATTCTTAATGGGCAACAAGAAAACCTAGGAGCATGGTTAATGAGGGCACTTCTATCCTGCTTCTAGATTACTGTATTGCAATGAAAGATTGAAATTGTAATGTAATGGAAGATCATTGTGATTAGCAGAGAACACTCAGAAACCACAGACTCATTTCTTTCTGAAGGCTCATAAATTCAACTTATGCAAAACTGACCCTTCCAAAACCAAGGATCTGTTCATTTAGCTACCTTACCTCTGGCACGCTGCATACCTCTGGATATTATATGGTAAAATATAAAGCACTGTAGCTTTTGAAATAGAAACGAGGGTAAACAACTAAAATAGTGGGTGCTCGTGAGCTAATGATAAGTAAAACATGAATTTAGTTCCTCTACACGTAATGGAGTCAAACTGCCCATACCATCATTTCTGACAGGCCAAGCCTCCTCTCATCTGATTGTAGAATGCAGTTCCACCATCCTCCTTACGGATCAGCTCTTAATTTGTGCAGTCTCCTAATTTATACCACATTACCTGAGCTTATATTTATGCAAGAATAATGGAAAAAACTGTCATTAACCAGCAGCCATCAAAAATGTCAATTAGATGATAAACCAAAGCATGTGGCAGATGAAATTTGATTGCCGCTAACTGTATGTGAACACTTTTTTTCGGTACACATATTACAAAAGCGTGAGTCTGATCTTTTGAAACACCAAAGCCAAATGACAAAGGCATTACATTTAAAATAAAGATGATAAAAATTAAAAAATGCAAAATGTAGTTTATATTATCACTTTCATTTTGCCCTTTCATGATAAGAACTTAGAACAAAATTAATTTTATCTGTTTCTAGAATCCAGTATTTTTGCCTCTTAGCTCTAAGTTTTTTGAAATTCAGCTTTTTATTCAGGAAAACTGTTGAGGAAAAAAAAATACTTTAAAATGAAGATACATAACATAACAAACCCAGCGTCAAGAGAATGATTTATTGCTTAGTGTACAAACAACACACAGTTCACAAAGCATGTATTTTAAGTCGACCCAAAGGTAGCCTACATGGCTGAATGTATAATCTGATGAAGCCAGTAACATGGCTCCTCACCAATGCGCGATGGAAGTTAAATGTAATTTTATTTCTGTTTTATTATTCTAATTTCCCATGTATCTGCCAAAGAGAGTGCTAAATAAATTACACATTACAAATGTTAAATAACCACTGTACAGTTTCATTTCTGTAATTATATATTCATTGTTAGGACATTTGTAGTTTATAATCATAATACCATGACTGATAAGATTAACTGATGGAATACTATGAAAAGGTTCCATCAACCTATTCTGCCAGCAGGAGAGAGAGTTTTCATGTGATGGAGTATCAATAAGAGTTGATTAATTTTTTCTCTCTATACACAAATAAATCCAGGCTATTCTGAAACAGCTGTCTGTGAGTTCCGGCCAGTTGACAGAAGAATACAAGTAAAGAGAATATGTCCGAGTGTCTGTAATGGTGGAATTCACTTCCTACGAACAGGTCTACAGCAACTTCTCAATTTGTTGTATGGCACACATCATTTGTATTACGTGAATTGCTTGGAATTGCTAACATTTATACGTGTTTCCATCAGTCATCTGCTGCCAAAACTTAAGGTCCTGGGGAAAAGTATAACTGATTTGTTTGAAGGTATCCTATGTTTTAAATAACAGCTCCCCAAACTCCCACTGTATTTCTCTGTATGTCAAATAAAAACTGCAAGAGCTGATCCATATATATATATATATATTTCATATATCGCAACCCTTCACAATTGCTCAGAAATAGGCATATGGCATGGTTCAGTGCATTATTGGATTCCTTTGGTCTGCATTATATCTGTTTCATACTATAAATGCCTGGCAAGCTCAGAATTTGTCTAATATCAGGAACACTCTACAAGTCAAATCTGCAAAGAGGAAGAAGAAATGGCACTGTGTGGGAGACATGAGGAGCAACTATTAAGTTATAGTTTACCTGTGTAGATATAAGACTCAAAAAATCAAAGGTGAGGAGAGGTATGATAGATAGCCATAGGAAGTGAGAAGGATAAGGAGAGAAAACGGAGGACTGACAGAATGTCAAGACTGTAAATGTAAGATTGACAGAAGAAGCAATGGGAAGTTAAAAGGAATGAATAAATAGAAGACAATACTGTTGTTGGGTTTTTAGAGTTTTTTAAAAGTTAATTTGTTTTCTAATGATCTCCTGAAACATATACATGTCTCATATGCCTGAAATTGGTAGCACAGTTGGGTGCATTATATAAACAGCCATACATACATAGCATCAGATTTTCAAAGAAGAGTTATGTTGCCTTCAGCTTCAGTGAAATGTCACACATTTCCTTTCATGATAGCAGTGATTAAACTTAGGATAAAACTCATTATTGAACTTAGTTGCTCAGAGAGATATTGGGCATATTTTTGGTATTCAGGTTTACTTTTTTTTTTTTTTTTTAACATCTGAATTTCATTTTTATCTGCTTGCCAAAACATATCCAAGATCTATTCCTATCCAAGTCTAGTCTGTTCCACACACCTGTGGAATCCCTGAATAAAGATTTCATATATGACATATACGACAAAAAAATTCCTTCAGTTCTACTGCACATTATACTTTCAGACATATATTCTGTAAGTAAAATGTTACAGAACCACATATGTCCTCTGGGCAGTACATACGGTCCACAGCCTTCTGCCACAAAGAGGCAGCCTCTACTAGCACATAACAGAGGAACTGTTATGTTTGAATTGTTAGGAGAAATGTCTTCACATGCATTCACCTATGATGGTTTCCAAAGGATAGTGCTACGCTTTGATACCCAATAATGCAGTACAACCATATCCCCTGCTTCTTTTGCCAGGGCATATTGCTCAGGATTCACAATAAAAGCACTATCTGTTTTCCACAGTATCACAACTGGTACTTCATCAGCAACCTGAGATTATTTTCAAAGGACGACATCAATAATATCATCCACAACACAAACACAGCTTGTCTCAACAGACAGTCTTAATTTCTTGATGTTTTATAAAACAGTAGTTATCAAAGACCAATCTTTACAAGCAGCTGTGCTTGTAGGGGATTGGTCTGAAACAGTGATCAATGATTAACTGGCTAACACAAATCCATAAAACTCTCTTATTCTCTTATGTTCCCACCCAACAGGAACAGACTATACTGACCGAAAACCTAAGTATTGGTCTGTAAAATTTCAGATGTAAGAACATGTTAGTGTAATTCTGTTTTTAGCTTGATACTTTCCAGCAACTCAATTCACTTTTATTGAGAAGTGAAAGGAAAAAGCTAGATTTTCACTATGGGCAGCAACAAAGATACATTGCAGGGATTATCTGGGCCTCTTACCATAGATGATTATAGGATAAATAAAAATGTACTCCTGTGAAATGAAACTGAGCGGGATGGAAGGCAGGAATGTTCACTGCACTAATTCCTTATATTTGTTAAAAGAACTGCAAATAGGGAAAAATACCCAAGATGCAAGTACAAATAGTGTTCAGCTTCAGAGTATGTAATTAGTTCACTTACTGTTCACAATGTAGATTGCGTGCTTAACTCTCTTCTCTTTGTTTATTCAGGATTCCACGTTTCTGTAAGAAAAACAAATATATATATATTTATCATTCATGTACAATAAATGGCCTGGTTTCCTTCGTGCCACAGAAGTTTGCCATTTTTAAATTTAGCTTTGGTTAACTCTAAGATTCAAAGACCAAGGTTTTCATGAAAGAGTCCAGAAAAGAAGTACTAATGGAATGTTCAATTAATTTTAAAACAACTTCATATATATACATTATCTAGATCTCCTGCACACAACTCCCTTTCCATAAAAGACAAAGTTTCCAGTCTTACGTCCTACAACAGAAGCAGAAACCAGGAATCCACAGGTATAGAGACAAATATCTTTTGAAACCTGTTACTACATTCTGGACATCAAAATCATATCTGGACACCTGTGGCTCTCCCCGGTTTTGGGGAAGGTAAAAGGCTTTCACACCTGTGGCCATGGCAAAACCCCCTTCAAAATTAAAGTCTCACACTCTGTTAGATCTCGGCCACATTACCTTATTAGACTGAGGAGTAAAAGAAGAAACTGTGTGCACCTCCAATGACGGCCCTAGTTTTTTCCCCCACCCCTCGCAGGAGAAGCGTGGGGACGTGCTGCAGAGTGATGTTTGATGCTTCACTCCCACTGTTTCATGCTGGCAATTAGCATAATAAGCACTGATCACAGCACACCAGCTGCTGAGCCTTTCTTGGGTGGTTTACAGGTATCACAACAGAGGTGAGTTTTAAGGCAGGATTTGAAGGCACACAGCACGCTGGCTTTGCAGATTTTTACAAGGAACAATTATCATGAATAAAGGAAGCATAGGAGTAGAGGGAAAATTGGACTGATGAACAATAAGGGCTGGCAACAGTAGCAGAAACTGATGCCTTAAAGCAGGTAAGACATGAAAGAGCAGGCAGGATCAAACTGTGAAGGTGCTTAAATGCAAAGATGAGTAATTTGTTTGATGCAGATAAACAAGAGAGCCAAATGGATAGTTACTAAGATAGGTGAATATATTTTTACTTTTAGATCAACTTTTCCAGAGAAGGATGAAACTGCCGTTACCTGAAATTGTCAGCCTACATCACATCAACCCTTGCTCTGCTCTGTAAAAAAGGCAAATCATGATTCCCTCCAGCATCTCACTCCAAATTAACCAGGCTACTATCTTTAATGACCCAAATAATAAAGGAGTCAGAACATAATTGATTTAAAAATCTACTTTTCCTTTCTTTTTTAGTAAGAAATTAGTACTGCCTCCTGCATAGTTCTTTCAATATCTGTGATGTCCCAGAAGCCATTCTTTTGTATGTAACCCACTGAAGAAACCTGTTAGGCAACAAATCATGGTTGTTTGGGCTGAGGGCTATATATTCCACAAGTCTGAAGCATAGAGTATTATTTTGTTATTCATTTTTAAACCTTTAAAAAACTATATGGGTTAGTTCTTCTGTTTAGCAGCCTATTCTGTTATGTCCTAGACATCAATAAGGAGTTGTGGAGCACTTGAACAAGGCTAAATCAGCTGGACAGTGATAAGAAACTCTTGTTTCAAAAAGGGTTTAGAATAATTCATGTGCTGGTGCAAAGCACAACTGTGGAATCAACTCATTTCTTTCCTAGGGTTTGTAACACACCTGAAAACAGTATTAGCAGGCCCTATAAAGCTTGGTGCTCCTTATTAGCCGTAGAAAAATCTATTGATACACCAGTGACAGACCTAAGCTGAACTATTGTACTTAAATATCTCTTGTAAGGGTTCAACCAAAATTTTTCCTCTCCCTGTCATTCAAACCCTCCTAAACTTACGGATTTCAAATTCAGACACAAATCTGAACTTTTCCAAAACCGCATGCATTAAGCTTGGCTCATTGCAGGGATACGTTCCAGTTAAAAGCCCTAATCCAACCCTTTTCCCTGGGGTTCAGACCCAGGGTTTCGGTTCAGGTCTGCATGTACATCTTACATTGGAATAGAGGTAGCTGCAAGCGCTTTAGAGAAATTAATACACACAGTCACACCTGCACTGTGGTACTCCGTCTCAATCTTCCCCTGTTTCTCTAAGCTGTCTATGTCAAGCTGTGTCATATTATTATCGAGCCTTTCTGAAGATTAACTGTTTCTTCTGCCACAGAGACAGAAAATGTAAAAGAAAGAAGACAGATGTTTACTTGTGTATTAATTGGAAATAACTGAAAAAAAATACAGGTCATGTTCTAGATAAGAGAAGCCAAATTAAGCAAAACCATGAGTAGGAGTGGTGCCTCATTAAGTGAAAATAGACACAGCCTGCTTGCTAGCCTGCTTGCTCCCTTGAAGTTGACAGAAGGAGTTTCTAAAATGTACAAGAAACATAATGCAGATGTGGAATGAATAAGTAAAAAACAATTAATAAAAATCAACAATAATCCAGAAGACTACTCTTTGAAAGGATTTGCAGTGCTAAAAATATATAGAGAGAGTAAAGTAAGTAGAAAAGATTCATTTTTGTAGAAAAAGATAAAAAAATTACAAGAGAAATTCAACTGTGTTTCTATTACTTATTATTAAACATAGGCTATTTTTTTTAAGATGTGCTGGAAGATTAATTCATTCACCCTTGGTTATGGACTCCTGTGGGTCTTCAGTGCAGGAGATCCCCTGCAGTGACAACTATATTTCTAGAGCTACAAATAGCATCTGTCATATTACTAGTATCTTTCAAGGCTCAGTTTTCATTTCCGTACTATTTGAAAGGGAAGACTTTTTCTGATGAAACCATTGCAAATATCAACAGAAACACATTTTGATATGCCTGAATACATCTTGTAATAATCCTTTGAAGCATAATCTGTGTTTTACAAATGGTATGTAGAGAAGATACTTTAGGGCATGTAATTGTAGGGTAAGGAATCATTCAAATAATCTGCAACTTCTACTTCAGTTAGTCATAAGGTTATGCAAAATCAATCAAAACAAAGCCTTTTTCAGTTAATTCTAAGTTCTCTGTTCCCAGTTACATTTAGCTGTAACCAGTTACATTTAGCTGTAACCAGTTACGGAAACAGCCTCATTAAGCCACGGCAGAAAAACTGGACCTCTGAAATAAATGAAGCTCAATCAGCCACACTGAACTTAAGAATATACGCGCATGTCCTCACTCACGCAATTAAATCCTACTCCACTGCAATCAACGGGTTTTTGTAGTTTTTTTCAGGAAACTCTTTTTTAACTCATACAGAAATGGAGTAGATTTACATATATTACAGGCAATAAAGTATCACAAAATCACAAAACCATGACCAAAATGAGCCCCTTCTATTATATGCTTCATAATTCACCTTGAACCACATCACGAAAGATGAAATAGTAGTTGCATGGTAATTAAAGTTTTTTCAAGATCTCTTAGGCCATCTGCATTTTTTTTTAAATCTATCCCTACTGTTGTATGTATAGACAAGAAGAACAGGGTGGTCTTTTCTAACTGTATGAAGAAACAATTTCTGTCTTTTTAGGAGTATGCACTAAAAAGTCAGGAGTAAAGCATCTAGCATTTGCATATTTTTATCTCTTTCCTTTCAAACACTGAGGAATAGTACTGAAGAGTAAATCTCTATACTCTTGAGCAATGAAAGCTGAAAATAGGTGTATGCTACAGTATAGTGACAATTTGAGGACACAACTGGACAACATTTTTCTCAGGAAGAATTGAAAGCTTTGGAAACCAGTTTCAAAGGGGTTTGTTTTTGATAAAGCTGAAACTTCTCCCAGCTTTAATTGTCTATCAAACCTGAAGATGTCCCTTTATGTGGCCTGTGCGGGAGGATCTGAATAAGCTTGGAAATTTTGGGTTGCAAAGTCAAATATATAACCAAAGGTCAAACTTAAAACCTGTGGGTGAGAGCCTGCTCAGTTTAACACAGTCTCAAAACCCAGCTTTAGTACTGTTAGAAGCAAAAATGGGAATTTCAAATTTTATTCTCAGCCTTAGAACCATTTATGAGAGAGAAAATCAGATTAATTGAAAGTGGAAGTTATACAGTATTATGAATAGACTGACATCCTGTAAAACATAAAACTGACATCTAGGAAAATGAGGCTAGCATTCGATTATGAAGTATAAATTATCTAATAAACCAGTACATAGTCTGGATAATTTCTAGCTGCATAATGTGCAACAAATTAAATGTATTTTGAGAAAATGGAGTTGTGGGCATTTATTAATTGCTTCACATATTGAAACAGAAATTGTCCTACATTATCAACTTCAAAAACCTTAGCCATATACATATTCTAATATTTTATAGGCTTAATTTCCTCGACATGAACTTTTTACTTTGAGTAACATTGATTTTGCTGAAGCCTCAAATGAGTCACAGAACAGATCTGAGGATTAGTTTAGATGAGATTTAAAGCACACACTGTGAATCCGTATACAACCACCACTTAAAACACTATCCGTTCAGGCCCAGATGGATTGCTATGGCAACAGAATCCCAAATACCAGGTTTGTAACTAACAAAAATGTAAATTATTGATGAACTCAGAGTTGTCTCTCTTGGACACCCTCCTATTCAAATACCAAACCTTATGGTTAGAGTACAGAGAAAAGGTTGATATGAAATTTCCCCCGCCCAGTGAGCACTAATCCCGAAGGATTTCATTAAATCTTTTGGCTTAATTTTTTATTCTTGGAACAGCAGTCAGCAAGGAGGGATTACATTAAAACAGGCACTATTGAGGTCATTACTGACTGAACTCAGGCCTGTAATATAACAACACAAGAACCAATTTTAAATACACCCTCACAAGAAAGACTAAATAGCATTCATTTAAATTACCACATTTTAGATGACAGCAGTCTTCCCCTCACACCCACCCCCCGCCTTCCTGCTAATAAGCAATGATGGAGAAGAGTACAGAAGAGCAGAAAACAATATACCTGTTCCTTGATAAACAGGCACACGTATCATTGTGGAAGAGACAGTGCATAAACAAGAGAGTTGTAGAATAATGAATGGAAGGAGGCTCAGTAGTCTTTGATATGCTATAAATCAA